CCCCAAAACCCCAAAACCCCAAAACCCCAAAACCCCAAAACCCCAAAACCCCAGCTGGCCTACATAAGATTGGATAATTTTTATTAATTAATTTACTGTGAAAGTAATTTTAACCAAGAATTTATGAAAAGATCGGCTAATTTAAGTCCATTTGGAAATGCACCGAATGGCACCAGTCTGGTGCCAAGCTCGGAGAGACCCTTGTCAGAGGCAAATACTGAAGCTCAGATTGAGGGCATCTTGAAGACATGCAAAAACCATCATTTGGATAAGGATTATAATCCTGAAGTCAAGTGAGCTAGGAAGAAGACTGCTAGTGAAATCCAATTTCTTGAAGAAATGTTCAAGAAAGATCCTAAGTGGGGTAGAAAGACAGTCCAGATTTGTAAGAAAGCACTCGACCTCAATACTGACCAGATTTACAAGTGGGGCTATGACCGGAAGCTGCTGTTGCGGAAGAAGGAAAAGGTGCGTTCCGATCCATTGTGAAACAGAGAGATTGCAATGGAATTGAAGAAAGAGGTATTTTTAGTCCAAGACTTAAACGCTTATGTCTCAGGACTTGTGTCCTGGCACAACTCTGTTGGGACTACTTCATCCCTGAATAGTCTCTCCCTAGCTTTAAGGGAAGGAGATCAGGCTCATGTTGAAAGGTTAGAAATAACCAAGATTTCTATTGCTGGGAAAGAAATAGAAATGACTCAGGAGTTTGGGAAAAAGTTATGAAACGAAGATATACATCAAGATTTTCCAGAACATCCTTCTTACCCTTTTGAACCCTTTCACGTGGGTTCTCGTAGCCTCTTTGCAGACTTGGAGACTCAGAGTCGCTCAAACTCTTCCATTTATGAGAAAGAATTTGAAGTCAGTGGGAGCCACCGCTTTTTCAAAGATCGCAGACCAGCCTGTGATTTTTCAGAGAATGATTATTCTGGAAGTATATTTCAGAACATACCAGATCTCTTTAATGGGGCTTTCTAAGCACCAGGATAGCCATGGTTGCCAAGATAACGAGTCCAGAGTAGGAAACTACCATCATCTGGCCTTGCTTCTTGAAACAGCATCCATCTGGCTTTCTGATAACTTCTACTTAACTATGTAGTAAAATTAATTCAGAGTTTGCTCGGTTAATGGTACATTCACAATTTGAATCATCCATTTAGGGGTTTTGGGGTTTTGGGGTTTTGGGGTTTTGGGGTTTTGGGG